CCTCTCTGCCTATAGTCACATCGAAAATGCAATGAGTTAATTATCTTCACAAATATTTCTTTTATTTTCAAATAGATCAGAATGTGCCCAAAGAATGTTTCACTGAAGTGTTTGTTGAGATTTCGATTTTATTATTATTAAGGTTATTTTTATTATTATTAGGTCTCATATCTGAAACAAACTAAAGTAGATAATTTTCCATAGTGATGAGATATTTTCTTTATGTGGTAACTAGCAGTAAAAAGCAGAGTAAAAAAATCATGTGGACTACTATGTGCTATATTCACTGTGCCAGATACCTACTGTTTCCAACCCTCTCACCAGCCACTCTTCACCCTTTTGAATGAAGATCTCTGCTTCAGAGGCTGACCCGTGCAGGTTACTTTAACAGGCTCACTCGTCCTCTGGTTTCCAGCTGGGTTTGTCCAATGGGAAGCCTCTACAGGGGGAAAGGAGCACAGCAGGGGATGGTCTGTATTTCCCTGCTCCCTCCCTCTAGAGTGGGCTTGGGCTGGCTGCATAATCACCATCAAAGGCCAAAGGTCACAGCTCCTCTCAAGGTGACCCTTTCTATACTCTCTGCCACTGTGTTCAGCTTCTTCCTCTTGTTCCTTTATGCTTACAGGTTATAACAGTTGCTATTACTAGCCCAGGGGCACTTCATTTTTCTTTGTGGTTTCTCCACACCTGCCATAGCTCATAAATAGTCCCTTCACTAAACCTTCCTGGAGTGTGCTACTGGCTTCCCATTGGGGCCCTGACTGATGCATCCACTTGGCATTCCATTTGCAATCTCTCTCATTTTGATTAGGAATCAGAGTTATGGCGATGGGCCGTTTTTTTTGAATCTTACTCTACCGTCTGCTTTTTTATTAGATCTAAAAATTTAAGTTAATCATATTTTCCATGTGTGCTAAAATGTCTTCTTATTGTATCTTAATACTTTTTTAGTTTTGCTAAGTATAGTATTATCTTTTGAAAATTATATAATTTGTTGAGTATTATTTTTCCTTTCCTATACTACTTTCTGTTCTCTTTGAGTTAATAAGTGTCTTATATTTGCATTTGCTTAATTTTCTATGTACTAATTATTAATTTAACCACCAATTCTCTGTCACTGTTAAAAATCTCTCAAGTCATTCAGACATATCAGGTAAACTATCAATTTTACATTAAAGGAAAAGTCTCTTATGGAGCATTTGTAATTGCTCCAATTTAGACTGGTTGCCATATTCATTTATAGCTACTACAGCTATTGTCCGGCCTGGCATCTGCCTTTGCCACAAAATCCTGGGGATTTTTATCACTTCTATCTTTCACTGGATCCCATTTCTTTTTTCGCTGATTTAGTCCCATGATTTGGTGACACAAAACCTCCAGGAGCTTCCAGAAGAAGGTGCACAGAGGATAAATTTGAATCTTACAAGTCTGAAAATACCTTTGCTCTATACTTGCACTTAACTTATAGTATTGCTGGTATACAATTGTGGATTGAAAGAATTTTCATTCACAATCTCGAAAACATTCCTCCAGTTCCTTGTAACTCCCAGTGTTGGTAGTGGGATCCTTTCACTTGATCTTTTGTATGTGACTTTTTCTTCTCCTTCTGGAAGCTTGTAGGTTCTTTGCTCCAAGTATTGCACAATCACTGATGAAATTTGGTGCGGGTCTATTTTTATATACTATTATGGGCATTTGACGAGCCATTTCAATTAAGAAACATTCTCTAATTCTGGAAACTTTTAAAAAATTTTTTGTTAAATATTTTCCTCTGTTTTCTATTCCCTCTTTTTTTGAATTCTTATCACTTGGAGCATGGACTTTTTGGGCTGGTCCTCTAAATTTATTAGCTTTTTTCTTTTATTTCCTATCTTTTGTTGTATGTGAGACTCCCATAGCTTTATCTTTCTCATCTTCTATTGAATTTAAAAATTTTCTCTGCTATTATATTTTTATTCTTTAAGATCTCTTCTGAATTTTTTTTTTGCACAAAATTAATATTTATTCCACCTCTGTGTCATATTCCCAGATCCTTCACCAGCGTTGCATGAAGGAAAAAAATCAAAGCAAAACAAATGAAAAACTGAAATCAGAATCACTAATGTTATCAAGTAGAGAAACAAATAAACTAAAATTTAGCGGCCATCAACAAGAATACAGCAAAGAAAATGCTGTAAAAAGAAACAAAGATAATTTCTAGAAAACAGTATGCATCATACTCTTTCGAACCAACAAAATGTGCTCTTCTACACACAATTGAACATAAACAGAATTCTTTTTAGTGTAAGGTATGGAAATCCAAGTTCTTTCTTAATATTATGGATGGATAAAATGTGTTTGTAATGGCAGTTCCACTAACTTATTACAGAGTGAGCCAGGAACATATTTATAGATTCTGGGGAAGATGTGTCCCATAATTCTTTGATTGGGAAAGTGGACATTTTAGTCAAAATTAAACACACACACACACACACACACACACAGAAGTAAAAGACAATGATAAATGAGATTTTTCTTATGTCTTAGCAACATTTAGATGGAAATCAAATTTAAATGCAGTCCACACTGCTTTTGAAGAGGCTTTGGTTCAGCTCCAAAATCTTGATTGCTTGCTTGATGCAGTCTCCTATGAGAATACTTAGAAGGTGTCTTCTTAAACAATCAACCTATTTTTAGTCATGGAGTCACTCTTAGTAGCTGTGTCTGCATGGGACTGATAACTGATCACTACCTTTGGAAGGAGTTCTAACCTTTTCTTACATACCTTCCTTTAGCTCTAACATTAACACCAGCTCCACACATATCGTCACTGTAGTCATCAAAAGATTCTCCAATAAGGCACAACAGTGTTTCTAGCCAAAAGCAATTGAAGTCACTTAGTCTCTGCTGTTTGTTCAATGTAATTAGCCATCGTCCTCCTTGTTTGTTTTTCTCATCTTTCCACATAGGTTCAATACCATCCTTAAAAAGTGAATAGTCACAGCCAGGCATTAAATTACTAGACAACTGAATATGGTTGTCCAGAGCCCAAAAGTCTTCAACAGTATCAAACTTAGAGATCAGCCGAAAGTTTGCTTGCCAAGTTTTAAAAAAACAGAGTGCCCATCTGTTCTGTAAAAGATGTTTAAGATAGCATTCTGGGTTAGCAACCTCCTGACTATATTCCATTTTCTGTTCTTCTGTAGGTGGGAGATTAGGAGTGGGGGAGGTTTCTGGTTCCATAGTTCCCATCTCAGATCAATTTCTTTTCTGAGTATTCTTTGAGTATTCCTTTTATATAGTGTCTTGATCCCATTTCATAGTTGTGATATTTTTCTTCTTTTTATATATATTACTTTAAATGTATATACCTTTTGTTCCTTCTGTTCATTTAACACATATGCCAATTATTAAGTTATTGTTTCTCAGCTTATAATCTATTTGTAGAATTTTTGCTTCTTGTCCCTACGCTCATGAAATCTTTTGGATTGGCAGTCTTACTTCCCAAGGGAGGAATACTCCACTGGGAACACAAAAGTAGTTTCCTGTTGAATTGGAAGAAGAGATTGCTACCTGGACAATTTTGAAATCTTCATTCCACTTAACCAACATGAAAGAAGGAGATTAGTCCACTGCCTTGGATGATTTGTCCTAATTATCAAGAGGAAATTGGGCTGCTGCTAAACAATTGGAGGCCAATATGTGGAAGCCAAGGGATTCTTTGGGCTACCCATTAGTACTTTTATGTCCAAAAGTAAAGTTGGTGGAAAATTACAGGATCTTGATATGTAAGAACCACTGATGAAATTTGGGTCATCTCACCAGGAAATAAACCCAACCAACTGAGGTCCTGGATGAGGGCAAAAACAAAAATGAAAACAAAAAACAAACAAACAAACAAAAACCATGGACTGGATAGTGAAAAAAGGAAGTGAGAAATATTATTCTTGGTCATTTATATTTCATTCATATACTTTTTAGCTCTTTATGATTGAAATATTGATAAGCTATTTTAGCGGAATGTGAATCTTATAAACAGCCACTTTATTGAACTCTCTTATTAACTTTTCAATTAATTCTTTGGGTTTTTCTAGTTAAAATAGTCTACAAAAACAATAAATTCATATTTTCTTTTCGACAATTATAATTTTAACTTTATTGTGCTTTTTTTGATTGTGGATTCTCTAAATTATAAGAATGATACTTGTTCATAGTAAAAATGTGTATGTAGAAACATAAAAGTTATAGTTTTCTCCCAAGCTCATACCAATTGCACTACTCAGACATAAACATAATATTTTAATATGTGTTCTTTCAAGCTTTTCTCTACACACAAACTTCTATGTTTTTATATATATTTATTAACAAAAATAGAGCTACATTTTGTATACTCTATAATTTTTTTAAAAATTTGCTTTCGCATTTTGATTTCAATAAAATAGTTCTTATTCTTTTAAATAGCTGCATATAGTACCATATAAAAGTTCTCTAATGTATTTATATAATACCCTATTGTTGAGTTTTTTATCAATTTTTTTGCAGTGCACATTCTTGAACATATATATTTACATATTTGTGTAATTTTTTTTCACATGAGATAAATTCCTAAAAGTAAATCATTGGGGAAACAATTTTTTTTTTTAAAGATAATACCACTACATTATTGTGACTAAGGGTGCACTGCATTGAAGAATATAATTATTAAAACGTTCACCAATGAATTGACTTCACTTTTTGCTTTTTCTTCCTTAGACTTGAGCAACATAGCACTTTTAAAGCAAAAAAAAAAAAAAAAAATCTTTAATTTTAGAGGATTTACAGCTGGAAAAATACTGGTTTAAGAAACAAACACCATATTTTTTTAAAATTGCTTTCAATTGCTAGTTCCCTGTAAAATAAAACATATCAACACCACTGGCAATATATACTTTTTAGATTTTAATTGCACTAACAAACACATCAATATTAAAAGATTTCTCTGGAATTTACGGACCTCTGGAATTCATCCATATAATTTCACAAGGAAGAGGAGAAGTATTTTCCTAACAGCTTCACATTTATCCAGTATTTCAATCTACCCCACAGAGCCTTATTTTTGTATCCTCTTCCTTTCCTCAGCTAGGGGTAAGAAAAAAACTGAGCTTCAGATCTCTTAACTGCCACACCTTGCCTACATGGAGCTTTAGGGCCCCATAATTAAGGACTGGATGACATGCTTAGTTAAGGATCCTCTTGTTCATCAGCGTCTGTCTGAAGTGCGGTGGTGAAAGAAATGGTGGGAAAGTGTATTGTCTCAAACACAAGAGACTCATTGAACATCGAAATGGCTACTATCTTTCTGGGACAACTTACATTGTAGGTGGCAAAGAATAAATAAAGATTTACTTATCTGGGAGATTTCTGCAAGGTTTCCTTTGTTCCCAGCTCTTTTCTTCATGATTTATTGAGGATTTACTGTATCCCTAGCATTATGCTTGGGATTAGAAATAAAGCACTAAATAAGATAAGACTGTTTTGAGCAGCCGTCCTTAATTTTTTATGGTGCACTCTCTGAAGTAATTTTGAAAAGCCATATGCCCCCCTAGCTCATTTTTAAGTTGATATATTATTTTTAAACCAAACTGGTAGAGGGTGTAATTTCTACCATTTGTGACTGGATAACAAATCCAGTGCTCTAGTGTTAAAATGAAATCTTTAGTGTTTCTTCAAAATATGGAATATTTTCCCCTAACAACTCTATTAAATAACATGTATTAATATTCTGAATTCTTACCAAGTTTTGATTGAAGAAAAGCATAATGAGATGTTCATCTAATGAAACACAACTATAAAATGATTGCCAAAGTCTTATTATTCACCATCCTAATTGCACACAAGTTATTGAGTCACTTAGAGCACCTGCTCTTCTGTTTTAGTGTTAGAGTTCAGTCACAGGATTTTTAAGTAGAAATTTTATAATTTTAGAAAGAAAGCTTAGAGAATATATGTTTCAATCTTTTACTCTCAAGGAGACACAACTGAGACTCAGAAAGGCAAGGTTATTTGCCAAAATTATGCAGCTGGTGGTGAACTTCAAATTCTTGGTTATCTTTTGGTGACCTTTTCATTATTGTGTGATTGTAAAGAATACAACTTCTTTAGCAGGTTTAAGCAAAAATTAATAGGAGCAGATAAGAGTAGCCACCACAATAATCCTGTGTTGGGTAAAAATGAGACAAAGTCATAGATGTAATCATTTCTTTTCACTTTCCCTTTTACTTTTACCGTATTATTTCTTCTATGAATAAATGTTTATGAAGTATTTCATTTAAAGTTTTGAATTAGTTTTACATTTCTATTTGGGACATGTTTATAATATTTCTCTTTGATTTGTACATCTTCAATTTCACTGAGAAAAATGGAATACACTTAATTTCATTTTATAAAAGAAAAAACCTAGGAAGATTAATTTCATCATTTAGTGTCCTGGGTAATACAGAGAGTTTGACAAATGATGCAATCTGTAAAAATAATTTTAGGATGCAGCTATTAGCTAATCAGTATCAGTTCAATCAAGTGGTTAGAAGACCCTGATACACTAGTGAAATAATTTAGTTCTGTCTAGCTCAATTATTATCAATAATAACAGCTTTCTAGTATAGTCAAAATTCAGTTTGGAAACTAAATAAAATCTATAAACAACTATGATGATTCTCTAGGAATACTTCACTGAATTACTATTCAAATTAATAGAAGAGATTTCAAACATATTTAGTAACCTTCTATCTGTGATATAATTTTTTAATATTAGAAATTAGAAAATTAACAAAAAGAACTAGATTACAGAAATTTATACTTAGCTACTGGTATTGCTATCCAAATTTGCTACTTTTCATGCAGATGTCTTTATCAGGTATAGGCTTTGACCCAAAATAGAAAGTACTGTTTTTAATACTACATTTAGTATATATTTTTACTTTCTCCCGGGACAACTGAAGTTAACATTTAGTGCAAATGTCCACTGAGAATTAAATTAGATCATATATAAATTTATAATATGAAATAGAATTAGCACTGAGGGTTACCTGCTTGAAGAAAACCTGAAATAACCTAGTTTAATAAATAATGTATATGAGGTGATAATTCACACTGCAAGTTATTTGCCATGAAATAGAAATGCTCCAAATGTCAAAAAAGAGAATTGATTTTGCAAATCCCTTTGAACATAATTTTTGACTAACGTGAAAATACCTGTTTCGTTTATTTAGTTATTTAATTTTTAAAAATTAAGTGAATTCAGTAGCCCGTTCTCTAGAGCCCATCTCAATCTTGTTTTCTCCCTACTGCAAGCCCACATGCTTCTAATCCCATTACTTTATATGTGGATCAGAGCAAAATTTTCACCTTTACTTCAAACTTCCAGGATTATCTTTGCATTATCAATATCTGATAAAAATGCTCAACTAAACACAAAAACAAAAAGACCTTCTAGCCTAGGTTTCCATCCTTCAATCCCATAGAAAAATGTCAGAAGTTTTGAAGTTAGAGCTTTTTCATTAAAATCACCCAATTCTAAAGAGGGTTGTCTACCACAAAATTTCCTAAAAATGGAAAGGGGAAAGTCTAAAGATACATTCTTCTTTGGAACATAAAAATTTCCCCAGGAGTGGAGGTTGGGGGTGATGTAGGGGTTAGGAGGGTTCAGTGCACTAAAACTGACTTCTTGTGAAATTTAGTGAAGCTATGTTTATAGTTACCATTTTAAAATCATAGTAACACTTTAAAATCTGTACTATCATTGTGTTTTCACAGTCTAACACTGGTGTAGAACTATTATACTGAAGTTTACTTTCAGAGATGTGTTAGAGCTGACTTGCAAAAACTAATTGTTAAATTTTCAGGAATTTTTGAAGCCAGTTGTCAAACACAGTCATGATTAAAAATCAAATTATGTAAACTTAAAACTTAAATTATATTCAAAATAAAGGTAATAAATAATTAAAACTCATCATTACATTTTTCTATTATTTATGCATTTGAGGTTATTTATGTCTATAGTATTGATATTAGGATTGCCAGATAAAATCCAGGATGCCCAGTTAAATTTGAATTTCAGATAAACAATGAATAATTTCTTACTATAAATATGTCCCAAATAAAACATGGACATACTCATATATGCTAAAATAATTATTTGTTGTTTACATAAAATTTAAAATTAATTAGTCATTTTGGCTTTTTATTTGCTAAATCTGGCAGATTTTGTATGGAGGAAATA